CATAATAATCATATACATTGTATATTGACAAAATAAAAATTTAACGAAAAAAAAAAATGAACTTGTTCCACTAAGTCTGCATCTCCTACAGATTCTTCTTAATAATGTGTAATTAGGCAGTGGCCCATGACAGTACCCATTTAAACATCAATGATCATTCAGTCATACTTCAATACATAAATACTATTGAGAAAAGAAATTTACCAAGTCCTAGAAGGTGGCGGGGGTGAAGGGTGGGACGAAGGGAGTTGTGCCTATATTTGAGGGAGATCAAAGTCTGGAAGGTCAACAGGCTGCGGTCAATACACACATTCACCATTGAAATCATCGACTTAATCTTGTCACCATGAAATTGCTCTCAGAGCTTGAGGAAAGTGAAAAGGTACCAAGAACCGGTGTGAGTTTTACGAATGCACCACGGGACTGCTCCGCACTTGCAGCCAGGCGGAGCATTCTCCCCTAGAAAGCACAAGAGGAGGCAGGCGCTCGCGTTCAGGCTAATTTTGAGCCGCGTCTGTTGCCGTCCGCCGTCACGTGCGGGCGCGCGAGGCCGCGTTGATAGGTGGGGGCGACTCTGCCGGGCGCCGGGGCAGGAAGGGCTGTGGCCGCCGTGCCATTCTTAAAGGGGCCGAGAGAAGGCGACAAGTGGCTGACGGCCGGAAGGAAAATGGTGAGTTGCCTTGGGGACGGCGGGGGCTGGAGGGCTGGGCCAGGCAGCCGGGCTTTCCTGTTTTCCGGAGCCGGTGGCGGCGGGCATCGCCCGGGGTGGGTCGGCGGCCGCTTCCGCCCTGGCTGCTGGCAGGTGCCCACAGCCAGGGACTTGGCCTCCCAGCCGCCGCCGCGCCCGAGGGCAGCATCGTCCATCCCGGCCCGGGGTTGACCCGCCCAGCGGGGCTTTTGACTAGGGCGCGGCCCTGGGCGGGGGCATCATCCTTGCCGGGCCGGTCTGGGTGGAGAGCTCCAGCTTCTGAGCTGGAGGCCAGAGGGGCGGGGGTCTGGCCCAGCGGAGGGCTCCCCCAAACGTCGGTTTTCCTTCTAGGGTCGGGGCCAGGCCTGAGGGACCAGCGGCCCCGACCACCTTTCGCCTGGCGGTGTTTGCGGAGAGGACTCGAATTCTTATTGCATTTTCTCGGCCTCTCCTTAGCCTCTGTCTCCTTCCCTTTGCCTTTCTCTGAGGTTTTCGCCTTATTCTTGCATTCCTCGAGTTACAGCAATTGGAGTCTTTTGACCCAAGACTTTGGTGGTTGGCTGTAAAGTAATTGTCAAAGCTTGAGTTTTGCTGAGTCTGCGGCTATGGCTTCCGTTGTCGTATGGGATGGACCCAAGCATAAAAATAAAGAGTTAAATTATTTCCTACCAAGGATCTTCTGGATTCTTCCCATCGGTTTTTAAATATGTTCAAGTTCATTAGAAACAACAACAACAAGAACAATAAAAACACTGCTCTATCTCTGACCTCCCACTCACTTCCCAACCCACTTCCATCGAATAGATCTTCTCATGGTCACTAAATCCAGTGGGCTCTTTTCAGTTTTCATCCTTTCCGACCTTTAAGCCGCATTCCAGTGTTGACACTCCCTCCTTTTTGAAGCATTCTCTTCCCTCATGCCTCTCCCTTGGCTTCTGGGATACGGAACTGGTTTTCTTCATACTTCTGTTGGTTCATCTGTTTCCCATGAAGATTATCCTCCTTTCCCTGGACAATACACGTAAGAGTCCCAGGCTCCATCCTCGTCCTTCATTTTTCATTATGTGTTTTCTTTCCTACACTCATGGCTTCGGTTACCACCTATATTCAGATGACTTGTGAATTTGTACCTCAGATCTTGCTTCTGAGATCCAGCGCAGATCTATGTATTCCACTACTTAGTTAAATTAACATCCTCTATGCACCTCATTTTGTCCAAAATAGAACTCATGCTCTTTCCCCTCAAACCTGGTCTTCTCTCAGTGTTTCTTAACTCAGTGAAAGGTTGCATCATTCAGTCTATTATACAAGCCAGAAGCCTAGGAGTCATTCTGGTAACCCTTTTTTCCCTTACCCACTCCACCTCCCTAATATCCAATCTGTCACCAGCTCCTTCGTTGTGGTTAAGAGTCGGGGCTAGAGGTTAGGCTGCCTAGCTCCACTAAGTGAATAACTTTGGGGAAGATGCTTAATTCTCTAAGTCTTAGTTTTTGCAAAATGGGTGTAATGATAGTACCCATCTGATGGGATTGTTTGGAGCATGAAGGGAAATCCATGTAAAGGACATAACTGTTTCTCTCGTGGTGTTTAAAACACGTTAACTGTTATTAGCACTGTTCACCTCCTTCTCTTTATCCTCATCACCAGCCTCTCTAAGCTGCTTTTCCTTTCCTGTCTGGACTAGTCTTACCAGTTATCTAGTCTTGCTGTATTTATCCTGGTTCTCTGCCTGTTTCCTACATAGACAGCAAATGAGATCTTTTCAAAATGCAAATATGACCACATTTACTTTTCCAACCTTGCTTAAAACGTTCTAGTGGCTTCCCTTTGCTCACAGAATAGAAACCAAAATACTTAATATGACCCAGTAGACCCTATGCTGTCCAGCCCCTACCAACTTCCTCTTGTACTATGTTCCTGTTCATTGTGCTTGAGTCACACTGGCCTTTTATTATTTTGGATGTGCCATGCTCATTTTAATGAAAAGGTCTTTGCACAGGCAATTTTGGTCCTTCACGTGCCTTTTTCAGGAAGCCTCCTATTGACCATGCAGTTCATAAATTCTCATCCATTGTGTGCTTCTCCTCTCTAGCCCTCATCACAGATACAAGTTTGCATGTTTTTGCGGGGTCCTTTGATGTAGGTTTGTTCTGTGCTAGATTAGAATATAAACTCCTTGAGGGCAGGGCAGGGACCATATCTTTTATTTATTTACTCTATGATTGTATCCCTAGCAGTTAGCATGATGCTGGCACTCATTAAATGTTTATCGTATGGATAAACCAATAAGTGAACATTTGAGCTCAAATCTCCACTTTACTTTGTATGTTGTTAAATGCTACTACTGACTGTATGCGGTGAGCCCTTTTTCTTGTAGAAGGAATTTTTGGCCTTACTGAGGTGTTGGGAGAGGTGAAAACACAAAAACAAGCTATACAAATTAAGTCACAGCATATATATCACTTGGTGTCTTGATCCTTAGAATGCCAAGCTTACAAAAGCAGCTCTAGATATCAGAGCTGGAAGATAAGACTTTCATGATAAATTGGTCAGCCTAAACATATTAGTTTTGCTAATAGGTTCTATGTTTGGTTGAAGAGAAAATGGAAATTCTACTTTTCTGACTTCATTATCTTTCTTGAAAGATAGAAAAAAATGAGCTAGGATTGAGTCTTAGCTTCAGAAAGCTCCATATGACTTAGCATCTCTCTAAAGAAAACTGAAAGAAGTACATACCCCCTACAGGAGTGTTATTTATTGGGTAGTATCTGTTGGTAGGATGTACCTTCTGATTGTAAATAGCATAACCTATGTTATGTCACACTTTATGTATTACCAGTATTCTGAATTTAAAGGACAATTTAAAATTGGTAGCCATTTTCTGCTTTAACATATGCTATCATTTCCCACCAAGGGATCTAAAAAGCAGGCTTTTATTACATTTTTAGTTTAACTTAAAATCAGAAGTCTTTATCTTTTGGGGTTATAATGAGAGAGATGTATTTAGCATTGGTCTCAGAAATGTTATAATTTTCTTGAAAGAGGAGGGGAGAAGTGATACATATTGAAATGTTTACAGATGAGATGATTTCTGGCCTTTGCTGTGAAACAGTTCGTGGGGACAGTGTTGAGGGTGTTGGATGAAGTAAGACTGACTATGTGTTGATAATGGTTGAAGCTGAGTGATGGGTGTATATAGGGTTTCACTGTACTATTCTCTACTTTTGTATGTGTTCTAAGTTTTACATATTAAAAAAAAGATTTTCATGCTCTTGTTTGCAGCAATACGTCGCACCACTAAAAGAAGAGTGCTTTCGATCATTTCCTCACCAAATTTCTGGGGACGATTCTCTAATATTTCTTCATAATTCCCAGTAGATTCTTTTAGCTTCTGTATTTGTTTCATCTGTTTTTGCTTTCATTCATTCTTCAGAGCTCCTTTTATATCTCCACACTCATGTAATCAAGATATAAAATGTTATTGGTCTTTCCTCTTATGGTTTATTTTTTATACTTTTGTTATTTGTGTTGTATTTTCCCCATAATTATGAGACCCAAAAGTGAACCAATGTCCTATTTATTCTAAGTACAATAAGATGATTTTCCTGTTCTTCCTGCACAATATAAAATTATTATGCCTGCCTTACTTTCTAACAGCAGACAGTGATTCTTGACTTTTCTCATATTCTTCCCTTCCTCTCCAATTCTGATGAAAGTGCACTTTATTATGTGTCTGCTTTTTGAGACATTTATTAGCCAAAGAGAAAGTATACCTTACATATAAGATGAACAAATGTGTATGAGTATACAATGTAGATCCAAAGATTGGTAGATTTAAAAGTCCATTTAAGTGTTCATATGTTTCACTTTAATGCTTTCACATAATTGACATTTGTAGATGTCAGTATACCTTTTTAAAGGTATTGGGTTTTATAACTTTAATATGTATGTATGTTGAAGTCATGGCATTTTATTTGTGATTTTTTTCTTTTATAGAGTGAGTCTTTGGTGGTTTGTGATGTTGCTGAAGATTTAGTGGAAAAGCTGAGAAAGTTTCGTTTTCGCAAAGAAACAAACAATGCTGCCATTATAAGTAAGCTAAAAGTGATTGCCTCAAAGTTACATGGTCTTACTTCGTTTTTATCTCATAGCTACATTGAATAAACTGAACCTTTAGAAAGTAATGTTGCCTCCTGTTTAATTCTCCACCTTTAGGTCACTTTAAATAATAAGTAACAGCAAATTTTAAGGTCTCAGAACAGAGATGGAGTGAAGAGGTAGAGTGAAGTCCTTTTCTGCCTACACATCTCTGGAGAAGATGGTCTTCTTGGTCACTTGGGGGATGAGGATTCCCATTCACAGTGACCCATCCAATTCCATCCTTCTCAGGGGACTAAAAATAGCCTGGCCATTCATCCCCAAATAGAAACCTTTGCCTACCTACACCTAAAATGGTAAAGTTTAGCATTGTGCTTGAGTTGACTTTGGGGCTTATTCTAATTCTAGAGCTGAACTTTAGTTTCATGGAGAGTACTTTTTTAATGTCACTGTCTTCTGAAAATGGAAAGAATGATTTGCATATTGCCCCTCCCACTGTGAATGGTATCTGATGTTATGCAGATTTTCCTTGTATTCATAGGTAATATTTAATACTCACATGTGGGTAGCGATTGAGAAAGATGAAGGAAGGATGAGGGAGTGAAAATGTAAAACTCTGTAGACTGTGCTGGCAGACATAAATTATCACAGAGATGCATCTGGCAGACATAAATTAATCAATCAGTGATGACAACTTAACATGAATTCTGGTTCTGTTACAAATAAATACTACAGTATGGGCATATAGTTCTTAAAGGTGAAAATTGTGTCAGTGCCATTTTACTGCAAAAGGTGAAGAAGTTATTTGAGATCATACTTTCTCTCCGAGGATTTACTATGAAATTAGTACAAAACCAATTGTGGTGAACTTTTCTGACAACTGAAAAAGAATAGAGGCATAGGTTATCTAAACTTATTTTGATTTGGCTTTGGATTATGTTAGATATATTTGAATATAGATATCACTGCTATTTGGTAATTCACTTTCTCAGAATAATGATTCTACACCATAAAATCCTGACTTCAGAGAAGCTGAGGATCTCAAGCATTCTCTATCCTGACCCCTGGTTTTCCCTTGTAGATTCTAACCATGTTGCACATAGACCAATCTCAATCACAGTCACCCTTTCAGACATTTTCTTATTATCTAGGAAGTTGCATTTGAGTCATAAAGTTCTTCATATACACAGTAAATACACAGAGTTGACAAAGTTCTTAATAAACAAACTAGGTGCTGGAAATTGTGGGCAAAAGCTTTTAAAAGCTGACTGCTTGAAAAGCAAAGCTACCTAATAGACCACAACCTAAAACTGCGAATGAACTTTATGCTTATGTTACTTGATGTTTTAATTTTAGATGCCCTGAAAAAGGCTGAGACTGTGTGGGTTGGGTAGATCAAGATCATATTGGAATCACAGTTTACTCATATTATATTTTTATTTTAGTGAAAATTGACAAGGATAAACGCCTGGTGGTACTGGATGAGGAGCTTGAGGTTTGTTCATTGAGCTAAATACAATTTTATAGTTAAGCAATTATTATTGCTCAAAAGATGCTATATTAGTTACATATACGTACTTCTCAAATGAGTTCTGAGACTTCTTTAAATACATGCTCATTATGCATGAAAAGGATGTGCTAATTATTTTGTAGTACATTGTCTTACTAACTTAACTATCTTCTTTAAAGCATTAATGAAAATCCAGTGTAATAAGTGGTAAAAGTTAGGCTATCTGCCCAGTAAAAAGTGAGTCAACTTTATAACTTGCTTTGAAATTGTCTGGCTAGTAATTAAAAATTAAAGCCTTGCAACTTAAGTATTTAGTTTGTCAAATTAACCAATTAATTTAGGGTGAAAATAAATTAACTTTTTTTCCCTGAAATTGGATATTGTTTCCTCTGAGGTGTTGGCTTATGTCACTCAGTATTTCCTGACAGTGGAACATAAGCATAGAATACTGTGCCTGTCAGCCTCATATGTTTAATAAACGGAGCTAAACTGAGAAGGGGGCTTTGATTAGATTGACAGTTTATTAACCTAAGATTATGTACAATTTGGTAAACTAAAATTTTATTTTGTGACATGGTAATGCATTCATAACTATTAGTAGAGCAGGTCTTTGGTATATATCTCCTAAGGACTTATAGGTAAGAAAATGTTTAAAAGTTGCTTTTCTCTATGGTGACAGGGCATTTCACCAGATGAACTTAAAGATGAACTACCTGAACGACAACCTCGATATCCTTTTCTTAGTGCTTTAAAAAGATTTGTTTTCTGTAGTGGTTAGAAGTTGACTTGTGAACTCATTTGTTAAAAAAAGACATGTTTGTTTTAAAAGATGTATTTTACAAGATGTCCTTCCACATCATGATCACAACCAAATTAAGATATGTATGCGTATATTGGACTAAGAAAAAAGAAAAGTTAATGTGTTAGTGGGTTGAATTATTTTCTTTTTTAAACAATTCCCTTTATTATAATATGTGCACAATAAAATGAAGAAAGAAATCCATACTTTAATAAATTTCTTTTTGAGAGATTATGTTATTTTATAACTTATCTCTGGGGTTTATTTATAATTTTTTGGAAAGATACTGAGTAATGAAGGTGTGGCCTAAATGAATAGGATAGTTATTTGCCACTTAGTAGCTTCCCAGGTGGTGGTAAGAACCTGTTTCAGGGCTGTAACTTTAGTTTCTTTAACTTGAGAAAAACTTTCATTGTGTATAGTTATAAATATCAACATGATGATGGAAGAGTTTCATATCCTCTGTGCTTTATTTTCTCCAGTCCCGTTGGTAAGTGAATTTCTTTAAATAATGCACATTTGTCTGTGATCTAATTAAACCATTTTTATACTAGACAAATTTTATGCTGTTTTTAAAGATAAAAAGAGTTGAATAACCTACATTGAAGTAGGGTGTGCTTGCACATACCTGCATGCATCCTAGAAAGAAGTTACCATAAAGTGTCGTCTCTTAGAACTTGTTTGTTTTCTTAGGATAAATTCCTGGAAGTGTGATTGTTGGGTCAAATTATAGCTTACATTGGATATTGAAATGGGTTGTTGGTTTTTAGGGAATCCACTCCCACTACTATCACCATTCAAGCCCACAATAAACATGGTACTTACTAAACCTTTCTCTGAACTTTATTATTTGTATCGTTTACTTAACACTTAAAATATTTCTAACTTACTGTGTAAGCAGACTGTAACTTTTTTTCAGACCCTATTTTAGACCTGTCCCACTAGCCCACCACCATTCCAGAATTTTATATATTTTAGGCATTTATAAAATTGATGTTGATATTTAGTGTCTAAATTAAGATAGTGCTGAAAAGTTTTTAGTGTTTGCAAGGCTCTAAAAGTCAGAAGAATCATTTATTTTTGCTGACCTCTAGACTTGTTTATAATTTAGCTCTGTCTCTTTGTGTAGGCAGTATGCAATATAAGACTCAAAATATAGCCCATATACATTTAGATGAAAGTTTTTGTAAACTCAATAGCAAAGAAAATCCTAAGTGTGTCATTTTTAAAAATAAAAATAATAAAAACCCACCAGTTTTTAAAAATCTACATCTCATTTCTATGCTAATCTCTGTCTTGCAGGATGTAAGCCTGAACAACAGATGATGTATGCTGGGAGTAAGAATAAGCTAGTCCAAACAGCTGAACTAACCAAGGTGGTATTTATATTGACTTGCTTGTTGAGACAGTATTTTCCCTTAGAGTATAGAACAATAGTTAAAATAGTCCGAAGAAGTATTTTTTGGCAGGTGCAGATTATTTAGACCAGAGTGGTAAATTAGCCAAAGGTTTTTATTAGTTGGACATAGTATGGTAGACATCTTTGAACTGAAGTGTTTTTTGAATAAGCTGATTAGAAGAAATCACATGCAAGATGTAGGCAGATTTAGAAAGCCACTGTAACTCTTAAATTTTTTAAGAGTTCTTTATCTTCTGTAGTGTAATTTCTAATAGGTAAAGATCAGCATTGACGCTTCTCTGAGCCCTTTACCATAGTCTGAAATGAACCACGTTCTGTGCTGTGATTCTGTATTATGCAGTTAACTGTACTGTTTCTAGATCTAAAATTAAATTGTTAAGAATATTAATAAAGCTAGAATATTCTGTTTTATGTGACCCACTTGCTTTAAGATTTAACATGTCCTCAATTGTTTTATGGTATTATTGAAGATTAAAGGTAAGAGAAGTTTACCTTTATTTACTTTATTTAACTTCCACATACTAGTTTGAGTTGAAAAGATATATACATTTAAGGTTTTGAAATAGGATATTATATCACTAAAACTATTAAACAATATTTTCTTTCAGATTTTAAGGACAGCATCAATGTTTTTCCTTTGGGTGCTTAATCATCAACTCAAGGAATGTCTTTAAGTGCCCTCTGCTTTTTCCCTTTAGCCAAGATGATTGTCAGTACCACCAATTTGTAGACACAACTTTTTTTTCCTTTGTACATAGGAACACCATGGAGTTGCTCTAAGGGATTGGGTGGGTAAGAAGAGCTCTGTTAACAGCCTCAGGGCTATCCTAATCCTGGGCATGCCCTAAAGTGCTGGAGTTGAGACATTACAGTTTACAACCTACTTTTGTAAATAATCTCATTGAATCCTTACAACAACCCCGTGAGGTTGATGGTGGTATTTCCATTCAATACATAGGAAAACAAGTTCAGAGGATGAATGACTTGCCCAGAGTTTCAAAGTGGTGAGTGACAGAGCTAGGATTCAAATGTAATCTGGCCCCAAATCCCATTCTTTCTACTGTAATATATTGTCTCTCTATAGCCATTATATTTTCTGGGCTTGTGTTAATTCAAATCCTTGCGGGAGATTTGTGGCTGTAGACCTCTATTCCATCTTTATCAAAACAATCTAAAGCTGGTATTTCCATTTCACACTCAACTATGAAAGGCCAACGTGTGTTCCTCCAGTTCCTAACTAGATTGATTTTAGTTGTGTATACTTGTGATGTCTCTTCTAGTGGGCATGATTTACAGAACTTCTTTTAGACTATTTCTAGACTTGTGCTTTTAAAGGAGTTTTATGCTGTCTTGATTGCTAATACTTTGGTAACTTGAGTACTTACCATGTAAAAGAAGTAAAATATAAGGTGTATCTAATTTACACAAGTCATGACCATTATGAAAGGAAGCAGAATTAGGTATGTAATCCTCAAATACATAATGTGTTTGCTTTTTTTTTTTTTGAGAGTGTCAGAGTATGACCTAAGTTTTTTTTTTCTTAAGGTATTCGAAATAAGAAATACTGAAGACCTAACTGAAGAATGGTTACGTGAGAAACTTGGATTTTTCCACTAATGTGAACTTCTGTGTTTCTAAAGTATTTATGATTAACCTGACCATACTGGAACCAGACATAAATACTTATTTATGCCTAAAAATGCACCGTTACATTCAGCTTGTTTCCTGCAGTAAAGAAAAATTCTTCATTTGTGCAAAGTTTGAACGAAGAGGAAATCATCTTCATAGTAATGAAACTTTGTAAAAGTGTTTCCTTATATTTGTAATTGTTAGGTGGACTTTCTCCAGGGACTTTTTGCACTCTTGTGACTAATTTCTATAACTTATAGTTTAGAATTTGTTACTATTTACTGACACCATTGGAAAGTGGATATTAGATTGTGATAGACAACAGTTGCCTCTTTTTGACAAATACTGGATATTAGCAGTTTATATATGAAAATAGCATATTATCACTTGTCAAACCATTAAAGTTATTTTGGGTTAGAGACTTGAGTGACCCAATTCTCAACCATGAATAATAATTTATGGTAGTATAATCTGTATTACAAGTAAATTTTTCATGAATTCCATGCCTCCTTTGGTTTCCCGTATCTTTTTAATCAGCCCTAGAAACTGTGTTCATCAATCACTCATTCTTAATGTCTGGGAATTAGATTTTTATGACAGAATTATGACTTAGGTTTTCTTCTTGTGGAAAATAGCATCTTAGTTTTAGAAATTGGTAGGTTATAGTAATCAAGGGCTTCATTCCTAATTATGTCATTTCTAGATAATTTTTGAATCTAGATAGTTTTGAATCTAGGTTAATAACACTTTTATTTATAAAGCACCTCCTAATGTCCTGTGAACACTAATTACTTTAAATGTGTTAATACTGTGCCTTTGATTTGTTAGCTTTAAAGTTAGTCTAAGACTTACACTGCCAGTATTACAGATTTGGTGAAATTAATACTTTTTTAAAGGGTCCAAGTAAAACAATTTTCTAATGTGTGTATCTCAAATTTATAATAAATCAACTTCATATTTTTAAAATTCCAGCTATCTGCTTGCATTGGTGAATATATGGCAGTTGAGAGTTAGAATTTTGGGTATATTTGTGATTAGTTTTGTGCCATAGGAAAAAATTATATATCTTAAAACTTTGTCTGTAATTAGTAACATTAACACATTAATGGAAATCACATCTTATATCCTAAATGTCAGAAGATATTTTAAACTGGACACCTGCAGAGTTAACAAAACCAGTCTTATTAGATGATGGCGTCCTTGGCTTAAAGCGAGGATTCTGTTGTATAGTGTACTTCAAAAACAAACATATAAGTAACTGTTTAACAACACTGATTTGATATAAGTTCTAGTGACTTTAGAGACTAACTAAATTTTGTGAGTGAATTCTTATATTAAAAATATCTTAGTCATTTCAAAATTAGCAAAGGCATTTTTTTAAATGTTGACATATTTTCCATTTGAATGTTCTTTGCATTTTATTTTTGAGGTTTCTGTACCGACTTTAATAAAGAGGTAAAGATAGATGGAATTTTCACAGTATTGAATAGGGCATCATCTGTTCCTGACACTGTTTGGCTTCACTATTCTAGAAGTCAGGAAGCAATAGGAAGTTAGTTGGTGATGAGGAAGTGCTAGAGTGTGTATTTGTTTTTGTTAATGACTGGAAAGGATTCTTTATTCCAGTTTCCAGAGAGAGAAAACTTCACCCAGGAAGTTTAAGAATTCTTTAAATAGGTATTTTGATATTGGAGAATAACTTGCTTTAATTCTCCAGAAATGCAAATATAATCCAAGTGAGAGTGGAGATGTTTTTAATGTTTTTGAATGAAGGAAATGAGATTTTGTTTCACCTGGTTTGCAGCAATAAGAGAAATTAACTAGAGCTGCAAGCATGTATTTTTTAATGAGTTTACTTATTTTGTCTTGCATGATTTTAAGATTTTTTTTTTTTTTGATTTGGAAGTTTTCCATAATGTTAGATAATATTGACCTGCCATATGCAGAACTCTTAGTTCCCCTGTTCTTAGCAAACAGCTGTGATAAACCATGCTTTTTTGAGCTTGTCTTACTCCTTATATTAATAACGTGTTTTGCAAGACAACACATTGAGGTTAGGGGATCAGAAGAATATGTTTTATTTCGTCTGTCCTATAGGGAGATTTATATATCCTGTGCTCTAAAGTGTTCTCAAACATTTATATAAATTTCTCATTCATCTAACTAAATTTTGGATTCTTCTTTTCAAGTATATTTTCTTTTTAGTCTTTTTCTTTCTTTCCTCAAATAGTGACTCCACATTTCATAATAACAGTTTTTACATTCCATTATCTTTTTGGTATACCCATTCTCATTCAGCCTTAAATCTTAATCTTTCCTTTTTGGCAGCAACTCTTTTCCTGGGACCCTCCTTCATGGTCTTCTAAGTCAGTGTTAGTTTTGAATTTGTTGGCTTTGCATAAGTTCTGCATAGCATCTGATGTCCAGTAGAACCAACTAGTAGTCACGGTATGTATTCAGTATGCTTTTTGTGACAACAAAAATTACATTTGAAGAAAACTTCTCAGGTTACTATGCTGAAATTCCAAAATGTCTGACTTTTGACTAGTAATACTTGTTCTGGTATTGAAGCAATTATATTAGGAAAAAAGTTGGTTGACTGAATTTTTATTTAATTGACTTCTTAAATAAGTGTTCAAATTGTCTGTTTCTAAACAGTTTACTCAATGCCTAGTGCAGTTAAACATTTTTGTTTAAGAGGGTGTTGCTAAATTTTTTATTGTCATTACTAAATAATCCGTGTGGCAAAAGTTCTGTCAGCACTTTTCCCTCCCTTTTTATCTCCTATTTTCAGGAGTCAAATGTAGCTATAAACTGTATCCTGGTCTGACACTTTAACTAAAAGTTTCCAGTTAGGGGAGTTTATTGCCAAATTAATTTTTGGCTGTTTTTCCCCACCCATTCAGATATTAAGGAAGGTGTACTTAAAAAAAAAAAACGTTTGGACTGCTTTTAAAACCCGAGCAATGTCATTAATCCATATGTGGACTAGTGATGAATAGATATTTTCATAAAGTTTAAATGCTGATATTTGGTGGAAGTAGAGAGTAACTTGTATTCTGTCATTTCAAGTATTCATAGTATGGTTGCTTTCTCTGTTTGTTCAATAGACTGATAATACTGGAATCTATAGAGTTTGAGCCTTTACAACTTATGTGAAGAAGTGTTTCAAACATTTCTGGACAAATCCTATTTTGTATTTCTGGAAGAATGTAAATAATCTTCTAGGCCACTTAAAACCAATGGTTCCACATTGATTATTTTTTGAGAAATTTGTTTCTTATTATGCCATTTGACATTTCAAGTCAGTGATCATATTCCTGTAACGTTTAAAACAACTGCATTAAGCTTGTGATAAACTGCAATTTTCTTGCTTTTTGGAATATAATTTATACACATGTAATTACTTGAATATTGTTTGAGATAACATGCGAGGGCAGTTTCCTCTGATTTAAATGGTCCAATATAATCTCATTCAGGAGGCTTGAAACATTAATGGTTTAGTCTTAAGAGTTTTAACAGTTCTCTGTCATTGTTTAACAAAACCAACTGGCACCACTTCTTAAGCTGTGGTTTCAGTCTCTGCTAGTTCATATTGCATGTTTATTTTGGACAGTCTTCTGTTAAGCATGGTGCTTGTACTGGTTTAAATAAAATGTTAACATGAAAGGACTTCTAGTTTTTCATTTTTACCCACCTCTTTCCCACTTTGAAGTTACTGATGATACCTGTCTGGTTCAGTTTGTGTGAGCCACTGACTTGTTCAGTAGTTTACTTAATCTGGAAAAACTGAGAGGCAAAATAGACAAGCATCACTTGGCAACTTGGTATAGGGAGAATAAAACGAGATTTTAAAAATAACGAGATTTTAAAAATTTCTAAAACATTGTCTGCTGCTGAAATGATTTGATGAACAATAGAAGGGGCAGAGGGAGTTATTTAAAATGATGAACCCTTGCTTTTAACAGGAGATTAGAAGTTAGGAGGGCTGTGGTTAGTTTATTGAATATAGTTTGTCACTACTTAAACGAGATTTTAAAAATTTCTAAAACATTGTCTGCTGCTGAAATGATTTGATGAACAATAGTAGGGGCAGAGGGAGTTATTTAAAATGATGAACCCTTGCTTTCAACAGGAGATTAGAAGTTAGGAGGGCTGTGGTTAGTTTATTGAATATAGTTTGTCACTACTTATTAAACATCCATTGAAGACCCATCCTGCCTTTGTTACAGACTGTACTAAATGATAAGTGTCTATTGAACGAATACAAATCACTAGTATTTACATAGTTTTTAGTGTTTACCATATTCTTCTTGTGATTGAATATGTAGTAACAGTCACAATTTGTTATGGTTGTGAAAGGAGTGGTTTATACCTTACTGTCTAAGAATCTCGCAAAGAAAATTGGACAGAGCATAGAAACATTTTTATCTTCCATATTTCTAAAATTTGCTGGCTGATTAGCACAGTGCTGATAACACCAAGGTCCAGGGTTCGATCCCTATGCCAGCCAGCCACCAAAAAATAAATAAAAATAAAACTTGGCCACTTTGCTTCTCAAACTGCCAGCTCCTAAATTTTTTCACCTTCACTAAAAAATATCTTTATTGTCATTTTGTCCTTTTCACTTCAGCAACAAAAAAAGCATTGTAAGCCCTTAAGCTCACGGCATGGGCCCACTCTCATTTGCATGAAGGAACATGCTGAATGGATATTACATCCTTGTATGGTATATTTTTAGCTGTGTCAGGGAGCCAAACTAAAGATCTTATTGCTGAGCATCAGGGACTTTTCTCACAGACAACTCTCTTATCTTCTACTTGAGATCTGCCCCAAGGCTATGTGAAAGCTCCCTGCTGAAGTTGCCCTCTCTTCAATTATAGGAAAGAAAAAGCCAAAAGCATAGGTTGTATCTAAAAGCCACTCTGCACGCGGAGGGTGGGGTGGGGTGTGTGTGTGTGTGTGTGTGTGTGTGTGTGTCCTATAAAGTCACTATTACACAGGTACAGATTCTCTTATTTTGGAATTTAAGGCTCTCCATATTTTGGCCAATTTCTTCCCTGTATTAGATAGATACCTTGGTCTGTTTTGTGCTGTTATAACAATACCTGAGACTGGATAATTTATAAAATGCAAATTTATTTCTCACAGTTCTGGAGGCTAGGAAGTCTAAGATCAAGTCACTGGCATCTGGTATGGGCCGGTTTGCTGCATCCTCTCATGGTGAAAAATGGAAAGGGGCGAATGCACTCTCGTAAGCCCTTTTATGGTGGAATTGGTCCATTCATGAGGATGTTGCCCATAATACCCACATGCCAACACTTGCATTGAGGATTATGTTTTCAACACATGAGTTTTAGGGGACACTCAGATTATAGCAACAGCCAAGCCCAAATATGTCTACAGCCCTTAGGTGGAAATGCCCCAGGCATTGCCCTTACCTTCCTGTTTTCAGCCCCCTCACCACCCTCAACACACACAGGACCCTACTGCTTCCAGACCTAGCTGGTTGAACCCAAGAACAGCCAGCCTCTATTATGTTGCCTGATTGGTACCAAATGGTGAGCCAGGCCAAGTCATTTTCCCATGAACTAAAGTAGTTTTTAGTTCAATTCCTGCCATTGGGAAAATGATCTCATTCTCTAGAATGAGGCAGTTAGCAGTGGGATCTGAATTTGAAAGGATGCATTAAATGGAGAAAAGGCCACATGCAACCTACAGGGCAGAGGGAAAGAAGATGCCAGCTGGGGCAGTATATAATAAAGCAGGCATGCACAGTGTAGCTGAATCATGCTAAAGACGGAGCCCCAAACTGAGCCGCACTCCTGCCTCTCAGGCTCCTAGAGCCTCCTTTGATCCAGTGTCCCCTCTTTCTGAGCCCTGGTTTTTCAGTTTTTTTCTGGGTTCCTCTGCATGTCTATCCTTACCAGAAGTCCTCCATTAAGTTAACATGGGCGTGTCTGTTGCATACAAAAGTGCCTAATTACAATGCTACTCTGATTTCATCTGCTACTATTCCCCACATTTACAATAACTTCAGCCTAATTGAACAACCTTCTTTTATACAATCATGCTCTGGGCCTCATCTTCCTCCACCAAGAGATGCACTTCCTCCCCATGCTGTTGCTGCCTGCCAAAAATCAATGCCCTTCAAAAATCATCTCAAATGCCATTTGAACCATGAAGTCTGTTGTCTGTTGAACTATAGTACCTTCTTTAAAAATAAAAACAACAAACCAAAAAACAACTTTTATTAAACAACTAATAACAGAAAAAAATTAGAAAATACAAATAAGAAAAAAGAAAATTCTACCACCCAGCCAGAGAAATCCATTCTGATGTTTTGGTTATATCTTTCCCTATCCCTGGAGGGATTCTCTGGTCCCATAGCTTTTCTGGTCACTCTTTAGTATTATGAAATTCTACTCGTTTTTTTCAGGTAATAAAAATCCCAGCTTAGTGTAATGTCAAAACTTCAATATCTCATTTTCTTTAAATCTGCCTCCCTGTCCCTCCCTCTTCTCTGTACCACCACCTTTAAGTATGTTTGATGTTGGGAAACGTACAGTGGGAATAGAATGTAGTCTGTTCCTGATTGTTGCCCTGCCTCACTCCCCCGCTACTAGTTGTCTCTGGTCCTTCTGGAATTGGAGGAGGAGGGGCAACATGAAGGAGCAGAAAAAGACATATTAGCTTGGTACAGATGTCATCTGGAGTTGGCACCCTCTGTGTGTGGCCGATGTTAAATACCAACTCTTTTTCCCCCACGGCGTGCTGTTGTAGATTGGATGCCCCCCAACCTCACTGAAGCTTAAATCCTTACTGTAACTGTTGAGGGTGGGAAATCCTATTATGGTAATTGAAAGGTGGAGCCTTGAAAAGGTGATTAGATTATAGGACTGTGCAGTAGTGAATAGATTAATAATGGTAGTAAGGGGCATGGTTCTGCAGGCTTGAAAAGGAGAGTGCAGGAGGAACTCTCTGCTCTCTGCTCCACCATGTTCTGCCCTGTGACACCCCTGGGTTACTATCGCCACCACCAAGATCCTCACCAGATATGTTCCCTACACTTTGGACTTCTCAGTCTCTGAAACTGTAGGCAATAATTTTGTTTTCTTTACAAATCACCCAATTTCAGATATTTTGTAATAAGCAACAGAAATGGACTAATACAGGTGCTTTTGTGGGCTCCTTGCTGATTCCCCTACTGGAGAATTTGGCTCCAGGTCCCTTGCCTTGAGTCATGCCACTTATGGCTAGTGGCTTTACAACTGCCTCTCCCAGCTCTTGGCTTCTAGCAGTTGCCTCTCTTCTCCAGGCTGGCATCTTGGGCAGGGTCTCTTATTGAGCTCCCTATGAGAAGCAGCCTTTAAGGTTCAGAAGGAAGGAGCCAACCACAGGAATATTGGGGGGAGACTGGGCACTCTTCCCCGGAAGAAGCAACAGCTAGTGAGAACAGCATGGCTCAGGTGTAGTGGGTGAGGAGAACTGTAGATCCCATACTCACACTGGAGTATGATGCCAGTTTAGGAGAGTCGCGGGCAGACAACTCCAACCTGGGAGAGTTGTGTGAGCTTCTCAGATCATCTATCCTAAGGGAGCAACACATTCACCCTCATGTCACATCTGTTTTAATTTTCTACATAGCACTGATCTCCATTTGATATTTTTTCTAATTTCTGTAAGTGGGTTGATTGGGGACTCTCAGTTGCAAAAGTATAACAATTTTTTAGTTGTTTTTCAAAAACTGCTATTTCTGTTTCCTGTCAAATCTCTTTTTTCCTCTTGTTAGAAAGATTCCTAGATGGTATAATATTTCCATAATATTCAAGTCACTTGGTTGTTAAAAGTGCCTTTTCTGTTACTAAGATTTGGTTCTGTCATGTGCCTCTTTCTCGTTCTATTTTTAAAGGTTTTTGTTATGGCTTTACTTTTAAAGATTGGGGTAAAATACACAACAACATTTATTTATCATTTTAACCATTTTAAGTGTACGATTCAACGGTATTAAGTACATTCATAATGTTGTGCCACCATCATCTGAATTTCATCTTCCCAAATTGAAATTCTTCCCATTTAACACTAATTCCCTATTTTCCCCTCCCCCAGCACCTGACAACCACTGTCCTTGTATTCTGTCTCATGTTTATTCTAGGTAACTCATATATGTGGAGTCATACAATATTTGTCTTTTTGTGCCTGGCTTACTTCACTTAGCATAATGTTTTTAAGGTTCACCCATGGTATAGCTATTGCCAGGATTTCCTTCCTAAGGCAAAATAATATTCCATTGTGTGTATATGCCACATTTTGTTTATGGGTTCATTCATCGATGAACATTTAAGTTGTTTCCAGCTTTTGGCTGTTGTGAGTAATGGTGATACTGGTTTACAAATATCTGTTTGAGTCCCTGTTTTCAATTCTTTGGAATTGAAATGTATGTATGAGGGCACTTCAAAAAGTTCATGGAAGAATTTAATTAGAAGATAAAATGAATCCTTCTATGAAATTTTTGAAGTATACCCAAAAGTGGAATGACTGGATCATGTGGTAAGTCTATGGTTAATTTTTTGAGGAGCCACCATTCTGTTTTTCACAGCAGTGGCACCATTTTATATTCCCCCAGCAATGCACATGGGTTCCAATTTCTCCACATCCTCAACACTTGTTAT